AACGTTAACTCTTTTTTCCTTCACAGATGCTGCCAGACCTGCTGAGCTTTTCCAGCAACTTTGTTTTTGTGTGTTTGTGTCCATGTGGACTTGTTGAGCCGAAGGGCCTGTTTCCACACTGTAGGAATTCTATGAAGTATGATCTTCTGTGAATCAGAAATAGCTTTAACCTATCTACTCTGTCCAGCCCGCTCACGATTTTCAAAACTTCAATCAGATCTCCTCTCAGCTCTTTTCCCCAGTGTGAAGAGTCCCAACTTCTTCAATCTATCCTCACACTGAAACTTCTAATTCCTGGAATCATTCTAGTAAATCAATTATACACTCTCTCCGATGTGTTTGCATCTATTCTATAACATGGTGCCTACATTTGTACATAATACTCCAGGGAGGTCTAATGTGTCTTCTGATGAGGGATCTCAGTTGATCATCTGGTTTCATCCCTGTGCAGAACCAACAATCTTCCACTACTTTTGAACATCTAGTTGTTCTGAAATAGTTTCAGAAATGCCATCATCACTGGTCGACCTGGAAGTCTATTCTGCCTTTCATCACACTTTGCTTGAAAGCAGTCTTTTTCTTAATTTAACCTATTTTTCTAAATCAACCTGTTCAGAGATGTTACTACACATCCCTGGAGCAGGTGGGACCTGAACCCAGTAGGGATGCTTACCACCATGCCACAAGGGGGCCATTTGAAAGCAGTCTTAAATTTAATGTTTTACTATTAACATTCTTGTCCACTGATTACTTCATGGGACAAATTCTATGTTTGTGGTCAGACTGGGAGGGATTGATGTTGCCTGTGGATTGCTACAAATAAATATGGTCAACAACTTGTACAGTGTCGGTGAACCATTGCATTTTGCCTCTGAACCCAAATCACTAGGATTTGAGTAAAGTTAATCATGAAAACTTGGAACTTTACTAGTATGTTAATTAGACAAAAGTCATGACATAAAGAAGACTCAGAGAGCCTTGTTTTCAGCATAAACACTGCAGAATCCTGTTGGGCTGAATGGCCTGTTTCTTTGGTGTGATTTCTATGTATAGCAACCCTTCTACTATCAAAGGATCAGACTGAGACATCCCCCAATTAAGGATCAAGCTGATTCAGTGTCTGTTATCCTGCTGAAACAACATTATACATGTCATAACTTCAACAAACAAATGAAGTGTTGTGTATATCAGACACACAATATAGAATGTATTCAGTAATGGTCTAGAACAAGCAAAACTATTTAAACGCTGACTTTAATCCAAAGCACAAGTAGAAAATATTTCAAAGTCACAATTGTGTTCCTCTTTCTTTGGATGACATCTTCAATGCCTATCCATAATGACCAGTAATGCAATTTTTGCTTCCATATGACAGTAGCTGTTGCCTTCAAAGAAGCGTCCTTAGTTAACACCTCATGGGTATCACTTCATTTCTGTTCCTCCAAGTTAGCATCGCTTATATTACAGGGCTGCTGACTTGGTTGTAGCCAGAATGATTACATGAGTATTGACCATTTTGGAAATTAATATGATCATGACAGAGATTTGCAGAAAGGGAAAAAAATCATGTCCAATCCACCAATGAAATTCAGATTTCAGATTCATAGAATCCCTACAGTGTGGAAACAGGCCCTTTGGCCCAACTCGTCCACACTGACCCTCAGAGCATCCCACCCAGACACATCCCCTTACAACCCACCTAATCTACACATCCCTGAACAGTACGGGCAATTTAGCATGGCCAATCTACCTAGCTTGCACATCTCCAGAGGAAACCCATGCAGACATGGGGAGTACGTGCAAACTCCACATAGACGGTTGCCCAAGGGTGGAATCAAACCCAGGTCCCTGGTGCTGTGAGGCAGCAGTGCTAACCACTATGCCACCGCAATTGCTACAAAGTATGCAATGATCTATGGTTAGGCCAGCTTGAGCAGCTAATTTTAATTTCCAAGATTATATATTGCACCATAATATGGCAAAATTATTCATGATGTTTCATAAAGAGGATGAATAAGATTAATTGATAATGAAGAGTAGCTAAGGGAGAAGATCAAATAGCTGGTTGAAAAGGTTGGTTTTTCAGTGAATTCTAAGATAGAATTTGTGTAACCATTTGAAAAGAAAATTTTAGATCATAGGTCCATGATGCTAAAGGCTTTGAAACAGCTGGCAAAGTGGAGTAAGAATACCCATATGGGCAAATGGTAAAAGAGCACAGGTTTCAAACTTAAGTTTAATGTGATCTCAGAAGTAGAACTGATAAAAGAACTTCAAATGGGACTTTAGAAAACAAGCAGCCATGGATGTTGGTGATAACAGGACGAGTTAATTCTCAACTGTCCTACCCCAGTTCCCATTCATCATTTGCAAGCCTTCATATTGCTTGTTGGCAGACTCCATTCAACCAGAATGGCATGATAACTCAACCTGTATTCATCGGGATATCCACGTATGTTCACTTTGCAGCCAAGATAGGTGGATATCGTGGCTGCTTGTTCACCTTTTAACTGCAGACAAGACAAGTTAGATATAGCAATTGGTACAGATATAAAGGAAGCCTTCAGCATGACTTATTGCTACCTCCAGAGAAATTACACTGGTCATTTTAACCATCAGTACAGGGGACATTAAAAAGATAATTGCAAATGTATTAATAATGGAGGTGCCTCTAATTTTTAGCAAATTCGACTGAAGAATTTTTCACCAGCTTTGCCATCTTATGAGATTGTCCCTTATACTAAGGAAGGTAGCCAGTCAGTAAACAAACAGTTTGAATCAGCAGCATTATGCAAACACAGTAGATTAATCTGTGGACACACAATCTGGTTGATCAAATGAACCCTTCCCCAGCTGCAGCTAAGATAGCAGTCGCCAGAGAGGCAGACTGCTGCAGTTAGACCTTGATGGACAGACAGCATGATTAGGAAGTAATGGAAGTGAATGGAAGAGGTTGGGTATTTAAAATCGAGACATGGAATCAGAATTTACATAACAAACACACAGATAACAGATGAGCACGGCAACTGATCTATTTTTGAACCAAGAACTCAAACCGGGGCGGGGGAGGGATCTGATGCATTAATATTCTATTATAGGATGTGGAATTCTGCGTAACAAGGCCGAGGAATGGCAAGTGATCCAACAGATCCCAGCCTCATATCCACGCACTTTGATCGGGATTCCACTGGCGTCAAATTTAGTTCACGTATAATATTGATCAATTGAAAATTTTACACAAAATAAACAGAATAACGGGTCTGCCAGAGACTTAACGCGCTGATTATACGTGACACCACAGACAGGGGGCTGCAGCGGTGTTATCGATCAGTGCCCGGCTGATCAAGGTGACCAGCCTAAGAGCCCGGCAGAAAGCGTCCTGTCCGTTCACTGTCTTAGCGATAATATTTTGTACAGACACTTAAAGCTCCCAGTGGCGCATATTAAATATTACAGTAGCCGTCGGCTATTAATACACCACTGGAAAAAGAAAGTACACTATAAGTCATTAAAAAATGAAAATAAAAATCACTGACCTGTTCCCCGAGATCTACTGCTATATTAGTGATTGCCAGGGGGACGAGGAACCGAACCAATGGCCAATAATGGGTCTGAAATCCGGTCACTTTCAGCATGGCACCTGCTTCTTCTAGTCGACATGCACAGATGGATAAGACTCGGAAGGAAGGAGAGGATTTCAGCAGAAATATACTGGGTTGGAAGAGCTGACAACCTCTTTTCTTTCCACACAATATAAAAGAGAAGCTCGCCCAGAAGTTTCTGCCGCATCTGCCATTGTGCTGTGCAGTAAACAAGGAGGGCGAAAAACAACGACCAACAGTACAGCAAACGAGCCAGAAACAATCGTGATTCACACCCACAAGCCTCTCGCAGTCACGCTACTCGCCGTGCCCAGAGACAACATGATGAGTGAAGGAAAAGCGAACAGCGCTCAGGATAGCAATAGGGTCATGAGGCACAAACACGTGGGCCCAATAATAGTGCCACTAGCCAGCCCCTCCTCAACGCGCCAGTCCTTACTGCCGACACCCCGGGTCTCAGAGTCAGGGTCACTTTAATATTTAGCGCTATGATCAAAACGCCAGTGAAATAAGAAAATAAGTGTATCACTGCGGTGCGAAATAGCAGCAGAGGCATGGAAAGCCTGCGGAATTTAACGAAATCATATGCCTTACAAACGTGACAAAAAGAAGCAGTATGTATCCAAATTTGAAAAGCTTAAAACATTGACAATTAGAAGAATTGCTGGTCTTTAAAGTATATTCCAAAGATTTAAAGGGAAGCAGGATTCTGCTGTGAGGGATAGTGAGGGCAAATCAAAACTGGTCATCCATGGGGCGTTGTGAGCTATCATCAGCCGAATTCAACCATAATATTTACAGATCATAGCCAGGCACAGCCCTCACTCAAGCGTTAGCATCAAGCCAAGGCATCGGTCCTGGTTCAGAGACACAGAGAACAGAATGCTAAAAATGAGGTGCCAATCTGGTGAAGGTGCAACACAGAACTATTTGTGTGCTAAACAGTGGAAGCTGCATATAATAGAGTAAAACAATCTTACAACCAATGAATCAGTTTTTATAGTGGGGGATACTAGCATAATGATAATATTACTGGGAACACAGAGGCCTGGACTAATGTTCTAGATCCTTGGGTTCAAATCCCATTATGGAAGCTGGAAGACTTTAAATTCAATTTAGCAATCCGGAATAAAATGCTAATTTCAACAATCATAATAATCATGAAATTATCAAACTGTCATAAAAATAAATCTGGTCCACTAATGCCCTTTAAGGGTGGGAATCTGCAAACCTTACACAATTTGGACGACATGTGACTGCAGACCCACCGCAATGTGATTGATCCTTAATTGCTCTCTGAAATGGCCCAGCGAGGCACTCAAATAAATCAGGAAATGTGCAATAAATGATGTGCATGGCAGCAATATTTAGATCTTAAAAGCAAAGTCCTGATACATCCAATGTTTAATTAAACAATTCACCGGAGGAGGAAGCTCCACAAACATCCCTATCCTCAATGATGGGATAGCCATAAAGACAGTTAAAGACAGTTCTGAAGCATTTACAACCAAAAGTGCTATGCAGATGATGCATTGTGGTATATGGTGTGGTTGACCATTTCAGGTGACTTTTTTATTACCAACTCAATTCATGCCAGTTGAAGAAACAGATGCAAATTAGTTATAGCAAAGCCTGCACATTTGACATCCCAGCGGTAGTACTGAAGACTTGTTCTCCCAAATACTTGTGCCCCTAGCCAATGTATTCCAGTACAGTTAAGACATTGGCATCTGACGAACAATGCTGAAAATTGCCCAGGTATGCATTGCCCACAAAATGCAGAACAAAGCAATCAGACCAATTATCATTTCATCAGTATATTCTCAATCAGCAATACAGAAATATAAGAGTCCTTGATAGTGCTATCAAGTGGCCATGGCCAATTTCACCTAGGCGATTCAACTCTAGGTCTCATTGCAGGCTTGGTCCAGATGTGAACAAAAGAGCCAAACTCTAGGGTGAGATGAGAATGACATCAAGGAGGCATTGACTGAATGCGGGATCAAGGAGCCTCAGCAAAATTAATGTAAATAGAAATCAGGAAGAAAGCCCTGTACTGGCTAACATCATACTTAACCCAAAAAAAAGATTGGTTGTGATTGTTGAGGCTAATCATCTCAGCCACAGGATATCACTGCTGGAGTTCATCAGTGTCATGACCTCGACCCTACCTTCTTCAGTTGCGTAATCAAAGAATTTCCCTCCATCATATGGTCAGAACTGGGATTGGTTCACTGACAATTACACTTAACACTAACTGTTAAGCCCCATTCACAATGCCTCAGATCCTGAATAAAAACTGAAAAAACTGTGGATGCTGTAAATTAGAAACAAAGACAGAAAATTCTGGAAAAGCTCAGCAGGTCTGGCAGCATTTGTGGAGAGAACTCAAGAGTTAATGTTTTAGATGGAGTGACCCTCAGTCTGAAGACTTGTTTTCCCAAATTACTTGTGCCCCCAACCCAATCTATTCCCAGTACAGCTATGACATTGGCATCTGACAAACAATACTGAAAATTGCCCAGATATGTAATACCCACAAAATACAGGACAATTATGCAAAGTGCAAGTCTCAATTATGATTTGTGTCACACAAATGCCACACAAATGATTATCTCCAGCAAGGATCTAACCATCTCTTTTTGACATACACTAAAACACTCACCAGCAAAGTCTTGGGGGTTGCCATTGACAGAAATTAACTGGACTAGCCATCTAAGTGCTCCATTTACAGATGAGGTGAAACATTGGCATTTTGTGATAAGTAACTCATCTCTGACTCTCCAAAGCCTGTGTTCAACACTACAAGGCACAATACCGTAGGGTGATAGAATACTTGCCATTTGCTTTGATGGGTGCAGTACTAAGACAACTCAAGACGTACAACATCAAGGCAAAACAAATAGCTTGAGTGACACCACAGCCACCACCTTAAGCATTCACTGTCTTCACCACCAGCAATGGTAAAAGTGTATACTATTTACTAGATGCAGTAAATCATGCAGCACATTCCAGACATGTGATCACAACCACTGAAAAGGACATGGGTAGCAGACTGATGGGTTGAAAATCACATTTTCTTGGCTAAATTCAATTTGTGTTGGGTTTTGTGGAGGGTTTCTCATCCTATCACACCAAACACACCTCATTCAATACCTATCACTTCCCTATGGCAATTCTCCCAACTGATCTTACGACACTCCATTCCTGGACTAATTCACCATTCAGCAGATACCCCAGAATTCAATAATGTCTACTATTCATGTGTTTTCTTTAAAATGTCATTGTGGACTAGAACTATCAGTCCAGAGCTGCTAGTTCCTGACGTTTACCCTGGACTTAGCAGACAGGAGAATTCAGCACCCAGCTTTGTTAGCAGAAATCATAAAGGTCCCGCTGGACAGGATGGTGTCATGCAGGACTTCCTCTAGCCCCAGGACCAGTAGTTCAGACTACAACACTAGACCACACCAGCCTGGTCTGAGGTTATCACTCGGTTTAAAACACTCTCAATCATCTTCAGGAATGCCCAGCAATGTAGGAAGAAGGTCAATGCCCTTCTCCACTGCACTACCATCACTTTCTCTCTGATACCTCACATTCATACTGTACACAGACTCATACTTACCACTCTTACTATTGTCTGCACCATCTTCCCTCACTTCCACCTATCCCACCCCCTGAAACCAGCAGCCCATCATTTGATTGAAAGCGGCAGCATCAAGGAATGAAGAGAGAAAATTACGGGTTTTAAAAAAAGAGTCAGAAATCACACAACACCAGGTTATAGTCCAACAGGTTTCTTTGAAAACATAGGCTTTCGGAGTCTTACTCCTTCTTCAAGTGTTAGTGAGAGAGGTACTATCAGATACAGAATTTATAAGTAAAAGATCAAAGGGTCATACCACTAATGAGGATGTACTAAACAAACTTAAGATGCTGGTTAAATCTTTAATCAGTTAGATGGTTTTAATTGATTAATATGTATATGTAAATCCCCAAATTCCTTTCAAGTTACTGTCCTGAAAGAACTAAACGTTTTATCAGTGTAAAGTAGAGGTGTCATTTTAGGTCAGACAATGCATGTTAGGTGTGAGGCCTTGTTTACAATCTGTTTGTGTTTTGGTTTGGAGTCTGAATTTATAAAGTAGGAATTTATAAAACGCCACATTGATTGTATATAAATTGTGTGCTTTTTGAACAAAATAGAATGTATCTGCAAATACAAATTCACCCCATAAATTCACGTGAGTGTGTATGTGTGTGTGTGTGCGTGTGTGCGTGCATGTGTGTGTGTGTGGAGATAGAGAGAGAAAGAGTGTGTGTGTGTGTGTGTGTGAGTGTGTGTGGTGGGGGTGTAGGGGGGTAAGGGGAGAAAGAGAGAAAGTATCTGTATACTTGAGAGACAGTGTGTGTATGAGAGAGGATCTGTGTGTGAGCATGTGAGTGTGTGTACGTGCATGTGTGTGTGTGTTTGTGTAAGTGAGTGTGTGTGCATGTATGTATGTGTGTGTGTGTAAGAGAGTGTACAGTGTGGTGGGGTCACCTGTAGTGCGACATGAGCCCAAGATCCCAGTTGAGGCTGTCCTCACGGGTACTGAACTTGGCTATCAGCCTCTGCTCAGCGACTCTGTGCTGTTGTGTATCCCGAAGTCTGCCTTGGAGGACATTTACCCAAAGATCTGATACCAAGTGTCATTGATCGCTGAGGTGTTCCCCCACTGGGAGGGAACTTACCTGTCTGCAATTGTTATGAGGTGTCCATTCATCCGTTGTCATAGCATCTGCATGGCTTCTCCAATATACCATGCTTCGGGGCATCCTTGCCTGCAGCTTATGAGATAGACAACATTGGCTGAGTCACATGAGTATCTGCCGTGCATGTGGTGAGTGGTGTTCCTATGTGTGATGGTAGTGCCCATGTCTTGCAGAGCTTGCCATGACAGGGTTGTAAAGTGTTGTGGTCGATATTGTCCTGAAGGCTGGGTAGTTTGCTGCACACAATGGTCTGTTTAAGGTTTGGCGGTTGTTTGAAGGTGAGAAGTATAGGCATGGGAAAGACCTTGGCGAGGTGCTCATTGTCGTTGATAATGTGTTGAAGGCTGTGAAGAACATGGTGTAGTTTCTCCACTCCCAGGAAGGACTTGATGACGAAGGGTACCCTATTGGACATATCCCGTGTCTGTCTTCTGAAGAGGTTATTATGGTTTTTCGCTGTGGCACGTCGGAACTGGCAATCAATGAGTTGAGCATCATATTGTGTTCCTATAAGGGCATCCTTCAACACTTTCAGATCTCTGTCTCGTTCCTACTCATCTGAATAGATCCTGTGTAGGCCATGTCGGTAGGGGATGGCTTAGATGTTTAGGGTG